AGACAATAACAGCTATTACACAAGGTATAGTTTTATTTTAACATGGCAACATGAGATAATCTTTGCCTTTGAGATCTGAACATAGAGATGACATTGAGGTCTGATGTCTGATGTTGGATGAAATACACAGAAGAATTATACAAAAGAGATGACAAAATTAAGGACACATGGAACAAAGAGCCATACGAAGATGAATCCCAAATTCTAAAAAGCGAGGTGGAAACTGCAATAAAAGAAATAGCGAAAAGCAAATCACCAAGAACAGATGATATTCCAACTGAACTGCTGCAATCCACACTAACAGAGTCAACTCTAGTGCTAACCAACATATGTCAACAGATATGGAAAACAAAATGATGGCCAACAGATTGGAAGTGATCAGTATACATCCCCATGCCCAAAAAAGGAGACACAAGAGACTGCAGCAACTATAGGGCTGATCTCCCATGCAAGCAAAATCATGCTCAAAATTCTGCAATGTAGACTCCAACCATACATGGAGAGAGAAATCGCAAAGGTTCAAGTGGGGTTCAGGAAAGGAAGAGGCACTAGGGACCACACTGCAAACATACAATGGCTAATGGAGCGTATCAGGGAATAAAAAAAAAAAAATCAACACGTGCTTTATAGACTATAGCAAAGCCTTTGATTGCATAGCTCATGAAAAGCTATGGAATGTCCTTAAAGACATGGGAGTGGCAACACATCTGATAGTCCTGATGAGGAATCTGTACTCAGGACAAGAGGCTACTGTCAGAACAGAACATGGAGAAACAGAATGGTTCCCAGTTGGCAAAGGAGTCAGGCAAGGCTGCATCCTATCACCCTATCTGTTCAACTTATATGCATAACATATTATAAGCAAGCAGGCTTGGACACAGAAGATGGAGGAATGAAAATAGGAGGAAGAGATATCAACAATCTAAGTTATGCAGATGACACCACTGTACTAGCAGAAAACCTCCCAGACCTGGAACACCTACTAAGGAAGATCAAAGAAGAAAGTGCAAAGGCAGGCTTAATGTTGAACATAAAGAAAACAAAAATAATGACCATTGATGACCTTCACAAGTTCAACCTAGACAATGAAGAAATAGAAATACACTTGTCTCTCCCTTTTCACAGACTTGCAATCTGCAGTCTCGCTCTTCGTGGGAGGGACAAGCGGCTATAAACAAAATGGCCACCCGCACACGTGCACAGTTCCCCACCCAAATCATTACTTCCTATGGGACTCAATTATCTGCAAGTCGCCATTTTCATGGGAGTGATGGTCCAGAACGGATCCACATAATAATAATAATAATAATAATAATAATAATAATAATAATAATAATAATAATAATAATAATAATAATAATAATAATAATAATAATAATAATAATAATATTTCTTTGTATCCCACCCCTCTGACAAGCAATCGGGGTGGCTAACAACAGTTAAAAATTCCGTACAGTGTATTAATACAATCCCAAAAACCCAGAACCCACCCACCCCTTAAAAAAGTATTAAACCCATTTAACAATTAAAATATATTAATTAAAACATCATAAAATAAACTCCAATCACATAAACAAACAATAACAAATAAAATAAATAAAGCGGCGACTAAGAATGGGGAGGGTGGCTATGAAAGAACTAGAAAAGTTTCTAAAATGCAAAGATATACAACCTAGAACAAAAGTTAGAAGCATACAAGCCATGATATTTCCTATTGCCATGTATGGATGTGAGAGCTGGACAGTTAAGAAAGAAAATAAATTCATTTAAGATGTGGTGCTGGAGAAGAGTGCTGAGGATCCCATGGATAGCCAAAAGGACAAACAAATGGGTCCCAGAGAAGATCAAGCTGGAAACCTCCCTGGAAGCCAAGATGACCAAACTGAGGCTGTTGTACTTCAGACCCTTCATGAGAAGGGAAGACTCTTTGGAAAAAACAGTAATGCTGGGAAAGGTGAAGGGAAACAGAAAGAGAGGAAGGCCACATGCCAGATGGATGGACTGTATTAAGGAGGTTATGGGTATTAAGGGGTTACAGGAATTAAGCAGAGCAGTGGAGAACAGAGGGTCTTGGAGACGTCTCATCCATAGGGTTGCCATGAGTCGAGGGCAGTTAACAACAACAACAACAACAACAACAACATATACAGCCCATGTTTCCTCATCTGTCACTGCACGCTGAAAAGTCCTGGCACAACCTTCTCCAACCAGGAACTCTCTATGAATTGGACTATAACTCCTATCATATCCATACAATATGCCCACTAGATGGGAGTGAGCACAGGTTTTGTCAAAAAGCTCACTTACTGTTGTTGCTAAACCTTTTGTTGAGAAAGAGGAAAAAAACCTTGCAGCATACATAGAAAATATAGTTGGCCCTCCATTTTCACAGAGGATCCATTACAGACCCTGTGGCCAAAACAGAGACTTGCTGATATTCAAACTCCATAGGCTTGAATGGGGTGCGTGCCCATGGGTGTGCTTGCCACTGATTTTAATGGGGGTCGCCCCTCTGTGAATATTCAAAACCACCAATCTCATGTCCGTGAGAACAGAGGGGCGGCTGTACAACAATTTATCTTGGTCTCCCTCCCCCCTCTCTTTTCTCATTCTGCATTAAGCTTCAAAACGAATACTCTCTCTAAAAAAACCCAAATAGAATGCCTATATATATTGCTGATAATATTCTTTAAAAATGTGGCCTATCTATTTTACAGTACAATGACAGCTCATTAATTTAAATGATAGGCTCCTTATCACCATGACTACAGGGCTGAGACTAGGCATTCACAATCCAAGTAATCGAAGCAAACAAGGGAACATGGAATGAGCAGCCTGGTTCACAACTGCCCCACCAAGCCCACCGTATAGTCAAGAATACAAATGAGTACAAGTGCCTTGTAATTTCCAGAGCTTGTGAGTAAGGCATTATGATGCCCTGTTACATGGAATTATCTGTCTTTTTGTATGTGCAGCAATTAAGACAAGATTCAGTTACATTATGAATGTAGAGAGATAACTTCCCACCTTGTGCAGTATAATTGTTCCTTTCATAGGCCCTGTCTGCACAGGTCAAATAAAACGTTCTCCCCCCCCCCCATCCTCTCAATGGGGAGTCCAGACAGGGCCCAATCCTGGAGTCTGGTGTGAACAGTTCGGATGACATCCGGTCAGTTCAGCACCAAACCTAAGGTATACCCCCCCTGATAATGATGATGATGATGTATTTATACCCCGCTCTTCAGCCAAAAGGCTATCAGAGCGGCTTACAAATGGTTAATTGGACATTTCCCTGCCCTCAAGCTTATAATATAAAAAGACAAGACACAAAAGGAGAAGGGAATAGTGGTGGGAACAGATTTTAAAAATTACTATTTGCTATTGATCTTCCTAGAAGATCTGTTGTGATGCTGGACATCTGCTCACATGCGCGTCCCGCTGTGCAGCCTGGCACAGTGATTGTGAGTTGCTCACTCTGCGGTCAGAACAAGGCTGGCCCCCTCACTCTGACCTCAGAGTGTGCAACTTGCTGTTGTGGGACTAAGTGGCACAGCAAGACATGCATAATTAGCTGCCCCACATCAATAGCAATAGCATGTACATTTATATACCGCTTATCAGTGCACTCAGCACTCTCTAAAGTGGTTTACATTCTGGAAGCTAATTGCTCCCAACAAGCTGGGTACTCATTTTACCAACATATGAAAGGATGAAAGGCTGAGTGGACCTTGGAGCCCTGCCTGGGATCAAATTCACAACATCACAGTGTAGGGTCCCAGGTACTGAGGGAAGTTGGAGCAATTCCAGGGGCAAAATATACCAGGCTTCTCCTATGCAGAGTATTCGTGCCAGTGCAGACACTACCATTGTCTGGTCTTACTACTTAGTTATATTTTCTGCCAGAGGCCAAAAGCTTGTAGCATTCTAAGATGTGTTTATTTTGAACAACTAAAAAGGGGGCTATTTTAGTTACTTTTGAATAATGAGGAAGTAAAGAGTTGGGTGTTTTTTTTAAGTGTAATCATAGCACATAATAGTAAATAAATCCTTTTGAGGGCCTCAGAACTGCAAAACTGACTTTTAAGAAGTAACTTTCCACATTCTGGCAATTTCTATTCCTCTTGGAACTTGCCACTGGGGAGAACATCTCTCAAATCTGTCTTTAATTCAAGACCATGCCATTGGGCACTTCCCTCCTATCGGTGTGTAAAATCCCAGAGTACATAATTGTGCAGGGCTGTGAAGAAGAAAATCTCTCAAGAAATCAGTCACTGTGAAAGTTCAAAATTTGCTTTGTTGCCTCAAAACAGGGTTAGGCAACCTTTCCCCTTTAAGGGCCGAGGGACTTCAGCTCCCAGAATCCCAGGAGCTATTGGCCAACATGGGACTATTGGCCAACATGGCTGAAGCTTCTGGGAGCTGAAGTCCCTCGGCCCTTAAAGGGGAAAGGTTGCCTACCCCTGCCTCAAAAGAAAAAGGAAGCACCAGAAATCCTATTCTGATCAGATTTAAACCAGTCCCAAATAGACAGTGTGTGGCTTGAATTCAGAATTAAGACTGAGATCCTGTTGAGAGATGGCATATCAAAAGCTCCAAAGATATACATAGGCAGTACTGTGCAGAAGTCGCAGGGGTAGGCAACCTGTCCCCTTTAAGGGCCGAGGGACTTCAACTCCCAGAAGCCTCAGCCATGTTGGCCAATAGTCCCATGTTGGCCAATAGCTCCTGGGATTCTGGGAGCTGAAGTCCCTCGGCCCTAAAAGGGGATAGGTTACCTATCCCTGTAGAGGTGCACAGCAGCAAAACAGGAGATCCCTGCATTCAATTGGGAGCTTTCTACCCTTTGTTGTGTGCCTTCAAGTTATTTCTGATTTATGGTGACCTAAAGGCAAACCTATCACAAGGTTTTCTTGGCAATATTTATTCAGAGAGGATTTGCCTTTGCCGCTCTCTGAGTCTGAGAGCATGTGACTTGCCTATGGTCATCCAGTGGGTTTCCATGGCTGAGCAGGGATTTGAACCCCAGTCTCCAGAGTCCTAGTCCAGTGCTCAAACCACTGTCCTATACTAGTCCTACACTACCCCACAGCCATTCAGTGGTTGTTTAGATTATGGGGAAGGATGACAGAGCATGCCTGGGCACAAGACCAGCAGGCATGGTACCTCCAGGAAACCTAGTTGTGTAAAGAGGTACTGGGTAGCTCCTTACATAAATTGAGAAAAGTAGGATTTCTAGCCCAACCCAATAGAATTCTAGTCTAAATCTTTGCTTTGAAAAGTTATTCACCTCAAGCCAGGACTGACTGTTCGCTTTACTGAACCATTGTATGCCTAATCCTCATAACATAAACTGAAACGTAAAACCAGAACATTTTATTCCACAATACCAGTATCGTTTGGCACTGTTTTACAAAGAATTTCCAGGTAACAACTCATTCCTATTTGTCTGACAGCAACACAACCTTTTCAGGTTTTTCCATAATCCAGGAGACCAAGAGAACCACAATATGTTTAACATGAAAAACATATTAAAAGAACTACATGTATTGGTTTCGACCAATAAAGACCTAAAAAGCTTGAGAGTCCAAGATACTGGAAAGACTATCTCTTCCAATATGAGCTGGTCAATAATCTGAAATATTCAGCAAATGCCACAAGAAGTTAGGCTGGTGAATACAGGAGACTGGGCCTTCCCTATAGCACCATGATTGTGGAACTCCTTCTCAGTGAGAATTCAAGCTGGCTCCATTTCTGTTGACATTCTAACATGAAGTCAGAACAGTATTGTTTCGTGAGGCCTTTTAGCTTTTAAAACTAGGTTCAGTCTTTTTTTTAAAAAAAAAAATAGCTGTGCATGTGGCTGTACATGGACACACACACATAATTTTGAGAGAGAGAAAGAGAGAGGGGAAATATTGCTTTGGGGGTGGGGGTGGCCAGAAAGATATGAATAGTTTGAATTTTTTTAAAAAATGATTTATGTACCAAACTTCACATTTTCGAAAAAGAAGGGACAGGAAATTCGGTTTAAAAAAAGTAAGGTAAAAAATCAAGAAGACTGGCATAACCTTATGCCACCACCTGCCCACAAAATTAAAGAGAAGCAGAGTTTAACAATGAAAAGAAAGCCACTGAGCCACTACTCTAAACCTGGAATACGTGATGTTCCTGCAGGGAGGGGAAATCTAGTCTTCCAATCTTGTGTCATCGTCCAGAGGTAAACTAGGACAGGCTGCCCGCTAAGCTATGCCTGTGATTGCAAAATTATTCTAGCAGAGCTACTGCTACTGTTGCTAAGAACAGCCTGACACCACAAGCACTTCTCCAACACTGGGATCGAAATCCAGACAAAGCTTTTCTGGCCAGAACCATAAAACTCTTGGCATGAAAATTAGTATTATTTAGTATAACAGTTGGAGGTAATCAGACAGGATGGGAGAAAGACAGGAGTCACTTTGTGACCATGGCAGTTCTCCATTCCAGTGCCCAGAAGGGGTCCATGCCTTTGTCGGTAGCTCCTGAAGAATCCAAATCCTTGAATATTTTGTGTATGAAGTTGATGTTCTGTCAACAGAAAACACAGTAGTCTTTGCTTACGCCAGTTTTCCACCATGTTCTTACATACTGCTAGATAAGCATGCAGAGGCACAAACACATGCCTCTCTAAAGGTGTGAAAAATACAATATAACAGAGGAGACTAGGGGGAGGTTATCAGTGTAGAGGATCTGTAACACATCTATGTATCTGCAGATTAAATTTTACACTTTAAATGTTAGGTCCCACACTCTTGTTTTACTCCTCATTCTACGATAACCTGTAATGAAATACATCCTGCCTGCCTGAAAGCTCTTCGGACTAAAAGAGAAAATATTTGAAAGGTCATAAACAGTCAGTGGCAGTAGGACTACAGACGCCCCACACGAATGTTTTCACTCTAAATAAATAAGGCTTGAAACAGCTGCTGCCTACAGACCAAATCCTAGGTCCGATATCAATCAAATACACATGAACTAGCCAAACTGGAAGAGACTCAGACTTATTTTGTGCAAATAGCTTTCACAAAATGTACTCAGTTTTGGATTAGAACACATATATTTCCCACCACAGCCTGAAAGAGCATTCCCAACAAAACAGAGAGGATTCTGAAGTGAAGCGATACTACCTTCTATTTAGCAGTCGCTTGAAATGGGATAGGCTCACATGTAAGCTTCTTTGCACTGGTGTAATGCCATTAGTTTACTGGTACTGCACTTGAGAAGGCTGTTGAAAGCTGCTCTATGCTGGTACAAAGCAGCCCTCAACCAGCCAAAGATGGGAAGGGTAATGCCAAAAGTGGATAGGAGAGGGACCATGGGTAGGAGATGATACAAGAGCAGCCAAATCCTTGGCATTTCCCTCCACCATTTGTGCTTGGAGATAGCTCAGTATTGTGCACAGAAAATGAATTATGAAATGAGAAAATAAGAATTACTCATAAAATCAACTTCATGGCTAAAAAACATTAATGTGGCAACTTAAGAGTGTTAACAATTATTATTAGTGGCAATATAGTTCACAACATTTCATATGTACAATGATGGCATTATTGGGACTGACAGACAGACGATTAGAGTTTTCAAAACTGTGCCTTGCCTCAAAGAAATAACAAATTGGTTTGGAATGTAGTCAAAATGAAATCTCTGAATTAGATAATAACAAGTTTGAGTTTTCAAGGGGTTTTGCTTGTTTTTGTACATTCAAACAGTAAATCAAATCAACTCACAACCAGAGAGTGGGATCTGATGAGCCTACTTTTACAATTTCCAGGCCCTTCCTTCAATCCATGTCAAAGCAACAATGCAATCTACCTGTCTAACACTATCATATCACTTTTCTATATTTCCTCTACATGCATCTTTAAAAATCATCTTTGTCTGAAGAAGAAACATTTTGAAAATATGTATGCTTAATTTTGTGCCTCTTGTGGCTGGCCCAATAATAAAGGTTTTACTGTTAATATGGACTTTGGAATTTAACATAACATAAATGTTGGATCTTATTTTGTCAGGGTTAATAGTGATTTCAAAATTATGAAGACCGTACTATAGTGAGAACATGCCATTTTGTTTTGGGAATGGAACACATTTGATAATGTAATTGTTGAATCAAAGTAGGAAACAGTCCACAAACCATGTAGCCCACACAACTTCAAAATCCTCTCAAATGTCCCATCATTTATATATTTGCCTACCTATGGTTTGAAACCATTACATTTCTTAGATACTTATGGGTAAACCATTTCAACATTTCATATCATAATTACTAATAAGACATGCTAATCATAATAGAAAATAATTTTATACTTCCATTTTCAAGATTCTTTTTTTCAACTTTTTAGATCAACATTTGTTAATAGTCAATTGACAAATTGTGCTTGTGGCTATCCTTAGAATAAATAACAAAAGCTAATGTATATCCTGCAGCTTTTCCACACCACCATAGAAAATAACAGAAAAATATTCCATTGGTCCACTTCAGGGATAATTTTGAATTATAATTTCACGTTATGAGAACATTCTATAGGCTCTTACATCCTCCATTCCTCTGCCCTCCTACTCTGCATCTGTCTTTGATTAACTGACATTAGTTAATCAACCAGGATCCAAAGCCTTGTTCTGAAATAATTCCAGTTAGATTAATCCAGCTTTTCTTTGACTTCTACCATACCATAAAATAACTATAAAATGGAAGAGGACAACTAAAAATGGAAAACTTCAGGCTTGTTACTGCACATGAAAAGGAGAAGCAGCAGCGTTGAACAAAGTTACTTTGGGATTAAAACTTCCAGAATCTCCCAGGCATACTAGGTAAGGGATTCTGAAAGTTGTGATCCAAAAAGAATTTTTCTCCCAGGGTCTGATGAGGGAGCATGCATGATGCACTACAGCTCATTCTGGTTCAGGACTGAGCTTCTGTTTACAAATTCCCTCTTAGCCTTGGAATATGCAAAGCCAAAGCACATACCTCTACAATTAAGCATATCAAGTGGAGAATTTTAATTTGTAAAGATACTGCTTTCCCCCACACAAAGCTAGATAGAAAAAATACAACTGCCAGCTATTTTCAAGGAGGAATAACAGTTTAGATGAGTATCTTTGCCATGCTTGCAGCATCAATCAAAACTGTTTACATACAATGAAAGATGTAAATCTGCTCTATCCATATCTAACTTATCACTGTGGCTTTGATCACTCTAGATTTTGTAAAACTCTGACTTATTACTGCTATGAATTTGGTGGTTATTTAATTTATTTACTCTATATAACTACTCTTTCCAGATCTTAATTTTCTCAGGTCCTGCCTCCCTGAACCCCAAGTATGCATGGTGGTTTACAATTGTAAAATTCTAAAATATTACAAAATAATGTACATTTTTATAAGCCTGGTAATAATGTTAGCCTATGAAAATGAAAAGCACCATCTTCTATCAAATTATTCTAATATGAAGAGACATGTAATTGTAATATCAACAGAACTTTAGGTCTATTCTCACCCTCTTACTTCTACATCTTTCTAATTTAGAAAGTATTTCCTGTTTGGTTGCTGCTTGTACAACTAGGTGAGCAATGACTGCCACAAAAGTGAACAGGAATAAAAAGATGCAAGTGAGCCAGTATACAAGCAAAATCTTGCCTGAATATTTTTAAAAAAATAAACCCAAAATATGCATAAGGATCAGACCACAAAAATTACACAATTGTAAATAAGTAGACATTTAGACATGCTACTAGCTCATCAGAGGCCTTGATCCCAATTTTGGGGGAAAGCGGAATATAAATCCCTCAAATAAATAAACAGAACTGAGAGCAGCACAAGATCAAGGGTCCTTTTCACACTAACAAAATTATAGCACTTTGATTTCACTTTAATTGCCTTGGTTGCATCCTGTGGATACCTAGATTTTGGAGTTCAGTGATGTGCTGAGAATTCTAAATGTTGATATTGTGTGTCTTCAAGTCACTTCCGACTGATGGTGACTCTAGGACAAATCTGTCATAGGGTTTTGCGGGGCTGAGTGTGTGTGACTCACCCA